AATCAATATAGATGTTTTTTATTTTAAAGAAAATTCAGATTTTACATAGTAAAAAACTGTAAATTATAGTGTCCGTCCAAAAAATCTTTTTTACTTTAGTGAAAACCCTTGGATGATGGTAAGGTAGACTAAAAGCTTTAGGAATCCAAAGTACAACATATAATAAGTACCCTGTATCAAGATTGATGCAAAACAAGTGACATTTGACCTTTTTAGAGAGGTTTAGCAAAAGAAACTCCACCTCTGAGGTGATTTGGGTGGAAATGGGGGTTTTACCGTTTCTCTGGAACCCATTGGTCGATTTTGGTGATTGACATCTCTTTCTGACCGTTAGAGCCAATAGAATCGAAGGGGAATTTCCCCACACACACACATTGTTAAAAAAAAAAGGGTGGGGGCTTTGCACATGCAGGTTTGCATCAGAGTGAACCTATCTCCAGCTTTGACATCTGGAAACGGAAAAGCAGTTTTATTGCTTATGGATTATCAGAAATCATTTCAAAGGGACACAGACACATTGGATTAACCTATGGATTAACTTCAGCATCGTTTTTATCGTTTTAATGCCATTGAAGACCACTTTTGACCAGACAACGACACAGGTAAGCCATGTTAGCGTTTTTAGCTACCCAGCGCCACATGTTTTGATGTCTGTTTTTGTTTATAAAGTCGTGAGTTCTAATCATAGAGTGATAATGTATGTACCCATCGATTCTGTGTCATCTCACGATGCGAATCGATGTGTTGGATGTGCAGAAAGGATAAATAATAAGCTTTTATGAGTGAGTTTCTGTGCAGTAATCTGTCAGCATTTTTCGCTCGTTGCTAATTCAGAGGCTCAGCGTTAGCATTGTGGTTTTTTTCTTGAAAAATAAATAAAAATGATCAGTTAGATGAGTTTCTTCCCGTTACATGGATATAAAACATTCATAGTTTATTAAATATTAAGATGCCCTCAGACACTGTTTCCTCAGATGACGCGTTTTTCCCCCGATATCGGGGGTGCAGTGTAGAAGAGGCTAGACAACCAGGTTTTTTTAAAGAGACTTAGATTGGATACAGACTTTTATTTTGTTGACTGGCGGGGGGAGGAAGCGTCTCGGCGGGGGGAGAGAATTTCTCCACCCGGGACGCGTGGGCGAATCCCGCCTCCTCCCTGTATGATGCACAGATCACAACATTTTCGAATAAAAATGAAGTTGATATGTATCCAAGTCTGAGTGTCATTTGTTTCCACAATTCAACACATAATGTTGACCGTACAAATTCCCCACTCGCTGCCCCAGTTGTAACTCCAGTAAAGGAGGTAGCTAGTGGGCATGCGCAGATGAGAGTGATAAACCGCAGGAAGTGCTATCAAGGCGTTATGCGGGTACAGGGGCATTATGGCCGGCGTATTACTGTCAGGGAACACACTACGCCTAGAGTAAAGACTAGGGATGTCCCGATCCGATCACGTGATCGGGGATCGGAGCCGATCACGTGATTTTCACGTGATCGGGGATCGGGAGAAAAAAATCGGGGATCGGAATTTTTTTTTTTTTTTTTTTTTTTTTTATAAAATATTTTTATACATTTTATTTAATGTTACAAAACAAAAATGACCATGTTCACGTCTTAAAGTCATCCTGAGGCCTTAGTTTTGGGTTAAAATTACACAACATCATGTATGTGTTGCTTATTTCTCTCAAATCTGGCAACAGAGTGGGCGCAGTGTCTAATAGTAGCAGTAAGCTAACAAGAGGCTACGTTCAGCTGGTGACTCGGGAGTCGGGACAGAGAAAATGTCAGGAGTTTGGAAGTATTATAAAATTGAAAGCGAAGGCAGTGTAACAGCCAGATGCAATGTTTGCAAGGCGGAGGTTCCGCGTGGTGGAAAGAACAGAGCTACGTTCAACATGACCAATCTAATACAAACACCACCAACAACAACACGACGAGTACACAGCGGCCACTCAGGTAACGGCACTGAAACAACCGACACTTTCAGAGACTTTTAAAAGGAAAGAGAAACTACCCCAGAACAGTGAAAAGGCCAAAAAAATAACAGCCAAGATAGCTGAATTCATCGCGTTGGATGACCAGCCGTTATCTGTTACTTTTTTTTTCCTCTTAATGCATTGCATAAAGATCGGATCGGGAAAAATCGGTATCGGCAGATTGTCAAAATCAAATGATCGGAATCGGATCGGGAGCAAAAGAAGGTGATCGGGACATCCCTAGTAAAGACTCCGATTAATGCAGTTTACCGTAAGGGTAAAAGGGACATTATGGCGGAGCGTTCAGGGACCTCAGTAAAAAATTGTCCTTTCTGTGCCTCCATAGGCAGAACTTCCCTTCACGGGGAGATTTGCGGCGGAACGGGTCACCAGGGAGCACCACAGCTTTATAGCTGGGGCCCCGCAGCTGAGGGCTTGTCCCCTAACACAGTGTTATGGGGAATGGAAACTCAGCTGTGTTAACAAAGTGGATGGACAGGACGCTGAAGCAGGGTTATTCACTCCAGTTTTGCAGCATCCCGCCTCCATTCAAAGGCATACGAGAGGTACATCTAACATCCCAGGAGGAGATGGGTTTCCTCTCGTTTCCTCGCATCGTCTGTGCTTGCTGGGGCAACACAGGACTGGTGAGGAGGGGGGGGGCTGTGGGTCAGTGGGCATCTGACCCCCTCCCCGGGCGTAATGCGCCTACGTTTTTTCCGGGCCCCCTGGAGGGTCCCGGGGGGGCGTAGTGTGCACTGGGCCCATACGGGGCTGGAGGGCTCTCCTTGCCTGCCTAGGGGCAGGAGGGGAGAGCCCTCCACACTATAGTCCACACACACTCTGCACAGGGTCAGTGTCTGAGTGTGGGGGACATGGGCCACTTGCGCTCTCCCCGTGCTCCTTAGGGACTCGGGAGAGGCGGTGCACAGTGAGCCCATACAGGGCTGGGGACTCTCTCCGTCTGCCTATGGGCAGAGGGGGGGGGGGCCCTCAGCACTGTTTTCTGAGCACACCTTTCGCGAGGTAAGTGCGTCGGAGTGTGCTCTGTCAGCCGCGGCCCAGACTTCTCCACGGTCACAGCCGAGGTAAAGGAGGGTGCGGTGCAGCGGCTGCTAACCAGAAAGCCGGTCAGGGGCAGTGGGATGGAACGGTGTTGTTGGACGACAGCGCGTGTATACATCGGGGCTCCGCCCACTGTGAGAGATATAACGAGGGGTTACGTATGGTAACCCTTGTTATATAAGCACAGGCGGAGCCCTCTACTCGGGGCACTGTCTGTCCAATGCAGCTCGCTGAAGAGAGGTGTAGGATGACAGTCAGGAGGCGAGGCCTCCTTTTATACGGTGAGATGCGCGCGCATTCAGGTAGGACCGCCCCGGGGCCGGCTACGTTTATAGAAGTTTCAGTGGATGAATGCTTGCATGATATGATCAAGGGGTAGTACCCATAGAGTCCAGTAGAGGGCTCCGCCTGTGCTTATATAACAAGGGTTACCATACGAAACCCCTCGTTTCCGGTCCTACGACGCTGGTTCACTCCTTAGCGTGCTAGATCTCCATGGTAACTTATGCTGTGCGGCTAACCAGGGGCCTATACTACGAAGCAGGATTTTCGCTTAGCGAGCTAACTTCCTGGATTTCCGGTCCTACGACGCTGGTTCACTTCTTAGCGGGCTAGATAACTTATTCTGAACGGCTAGCCTCCGGAGCAGGATAGGTTCCAGGATAAAAGCACTGCCTGCTGACCAATCAGAGCTCAGTGTGCGGAGTTTAAAGCGATCAATTCATATGACAGGAGAAAGGAAATACAGTTTAAACTGCCGTTGCAGGAAAGACAGCCGGCCAAAATCACCGACTGTGTGAACGTGAAAATGAATAGAATATCACCTCCCATCTTCAGAGCAATCTGACTATTATAACATTAGCGTTAAGAAAGCTTACTTAAATATCTGCCACAACATAAGTAACCGGATCAAAGTAACATTACGTAGCCTACAGTCCGCAGCACTGTGAGTGCAGACGTCGATGTGTCCCATTATCATTCATATAATGATCCGGAGCAGGTTAGGTTGCAGGCTAAGAGGTCAGTCTATAAAAGCTCCGCCTATCGACCAATGAAATCTCTGTGAAAATGACGTCGCCATTTGTCGATGACACTGTTGAGCTCGGAGCGAGAATTGTGAGAGGCGCTCTCAGTCGGGAGAGGATCTTTAGGGACAGACTAAACCCTTTGGCTTTCTCTGAAGAGTATTTGTATGAAAGATACAGGTTCTCGTCAGAAGGGCTGACTTATCTGTGTCAGCTCCTCGAGCCACATATTGCTAATGCAAGTTGTGCACTTACAGTGCCGCAGACTGTATGTATTGCTTTGCGCTACTTTGCGACCGGTAGTTTTCTGTATGCTGTGGGTGATGCAGAGAACCTCAGCAAGAATACAGTCTGCAGTGCTATTCATAAGGTCGCACATGCTCTGACTTGCTAATGCAAGTTGTGCACTTACAGTGCCGCAGACTGTATGTATTGCTTTGCGCTACTTTGCGACCGGTAGTTTTCTGTATGCTGTGGGTGATGCAGAGAACCTCAGCAAGAATACAGTCTGCAGTGCTATTCATAAGGTCGCACATGCTCTGACTTGCTAATGCAAGTTGTGCACTTACAGTGCCGCAGACTGTATGTATTGCTTTGCGCTACTTTGCGACCGGTAGTTTTCTGTATGCTGTGGGTGATGCAGAGAACCTCAGCAAGAATACAGTCTGCAGTGCTATTCATAAGGTCGCACATGCTCTGACTTGCTAATGCAAGTTGTGCACTTACAGTGCCGCAGACTGTATGTATTGCTTTGCGCTACTTTGCGACCGGTAGTTTTCTGTATGCTGTGGGTGATGCAGAGAACCTCAGCAAGAATACAGTCTGCAGTGCTATTCATAAGGTCGCACATGCTCTGACAGGGCTCGCAGAGTCCTTTGTTGTGTTTCCTGGCACATGTCCCACGCAGACGATCAAAGAGGGATTTTACAACATGGCAGGTATTGATATGTGATTATATCTTTACAGTGAATGTTGTTCCTATGACGTACACTGTTGTATAATAAACGCAGCCTACTATTTCATAGGGTTTCCCAGGGTGCTTGGCTGTATCGACTGTACCCATATACCAATCTCTGCGTGTCAGGGAGATAATGAAGGCCACTATGTAAATCGCAAATCATTCCACAGCCTCAACATGCAGGTAAATATTGCACATTCACTTATAGAACACACATTGAAGTCTGGGTGATTAAAGGATATCACACATTTAATATTCACACAGTACATGTTTCACACTTGGACTGTCTTTCTCTATAACATGGACTCATTTCAAATGAACATTGATGCTACACTGACTATGATGCTCTTGGAAGTAGGCTTGTTAACCGCAAATGCTTTTGCAGGCCACATGTGACCACAGGTGTATAATCACGAGCCTTGAGGCAAAGTGGCCTGGGTCAGTCCATGACTCAAGGATCTTTTCTGAGTCTTCACTGTGTCACAACCTCGAGCAGGGTATGGCAACTGTACATTCTTATTGTTTTGTGCTTCTTAAGCTGTATTTTGTGGTACTTATTATGGAAATGTTCCTTTATCTTCAGGGCTCTTCAGTGAAGTGCTGCTCGGGGACAGGGGTTATGCCTGCCAGCCTTTGATGATGACCCCGTATCCTGACCCTGGTGAAGGGCCACAAACCAGTTTTAATGTGACCTTTGGCATACTGAAGGCCCGATTCACCTGCCTGCGGGGGCTCAGAGTGGCCCCTGAAAGAACTTGCCGAATCATAACGGCCTGTGTTGTGCTGCACAACATTGCCACAATGAGGAAGGAGAGGGCCCCTCCTGCAAACCCCCAACCTCCTGATGTGGTAGACCCCATCACCCTGGACTACCCTACTGGCAGGGCTTTCAGAGAAGCCATCACATTATTATTTGCTTAATAAAAAAAGAACACACAGAGAGAGAGAGAGGCCTTGGATGATTTATGTTGGAGTCTTTATTTATTCAGCCATTCCTGAAGGAAAAAGAGAAAAATATAATTTTGGTTTACTTTTTCGGTAAAGAAAAAAGGGATTTATCTTTTAAGTATCCTAAAAGATTTAAAGGTCACCTTATGCACCTTTCATTTGACTTGAAAATAAATTACTGAATGTTACAAAATGACCTTTCTTTCTTTGTCCAATTTTTCCACCTCTAGCTTGGTTTTGTTTATCAAGAGCTTTCGGTGCTCTATAAGTAGGTCATTTAATTGGATGTTTTGTACTAGGGTCCTTTTGTACAGGGCCCTCACAGTGTCTGTTTCAGCCTGAAACACATGAAACACATATATGTTGCTTTAACATTCAAGCATGGCTCACAGCAAGAAAGCTGACAATTTTAAACTTCACTATACTTTTTAATTTAGTTTAATAAATTATTTGTCGTGATGAGGGCCTAGACGTCGAGGGCCCAGGCTGCGGGGGAGGAAGAGTTCCTTCTTCCTGCAAATTGAACAAAGCAAATATCTTTTCAATAGAGAGTAGTTATTTGTCCCATGTGCAGACCACCACCATGTGCAAGTAATCAGAAAGAATCAATGAAAGCAACGTGTCCACACCCTCTCTATCTGAAGCCCTGAGCCTGTTTTTCAGGTCTCAGGTTCGAAAAGGACATTCCCAGAACAAATGACCATATCTTCCCTTCTAAAAGGGTTACATTAATAATCTTTTTTCTCAAAGTAATGATAAACCTGTGGATGTAGAAAAGTCAGAATCAATATAGATGTTTTTTATTTTAAAGAAAATTCAGATTTTACATAGTAAAAAACTGTAAATTATAGTGTCCGTCCAAAAATTATTTTTTACTTATAGTGAAAACCACCCTTGGATGATGGGTTAGTAGACTAAAAGCTTTAGGAATCCAAAGTACAACATATAATAAGTACCCTGTATCAAGATTGATGCAAAACAAGTGACATTTGACCTTTTTAAGAGAGATTTAGCAAAAAGAAACCACTTCTGGGGTCATTTGGGTGGATTTTCCATATCTCTGGCCCCCCTTGCTTGATGTTGATGGTTGACACCTCTTTCTGACCGTTAGAGCCAATAGAATTGAAGGGGGAGTCCCCCACACACGTTGTGAAGAGAAAAGGTGGGGGCTTCGCGCATGTAATTTTCAATCAGAGTGAACCTATCTCTAGCTTTGACATCTGGAAACGGAAAAGCAGTTTTAATGCTTATGGATTATCAGAAATCATTTCAAAGGGACACAGCGTTTTTATCGTTTTAATGCCATTGAAGACCACTTTGGAGAGACTACAGAGCCAAGGTAAAAATGTTAGCATTTTTAGCTACCTGGCGTCACCTGTTTTGATTTGATATAACGTCGCAAATACGTATAATTCAGTGGTAATGTCCGTGTCAATCGATTCTGTGTCACCTCACGATGTGAAATGATGTGTTGGATGTGGTGAAAAGATAAATAATAAGGTTTTGTGAGTGATTTTTGGTGCAGTAAGGTGTTAGCATTTTTCGCTCGTTGCTAATTCAGAGGCTCATTGTTAGCATTGTGGGTTTTCTTTTGAAAAAAAAAAAAAAAGATCAGTTAGATGAGTTTCTTCCCGTTACATGGATATAAAACATTCATAGTTTTATTAAATGAACATGCCCTCAGACACTGTTTCCTGCAAGATGTTGCGGCAGTGCCCCGGTACCGGGGTCTCTCGGGCTTAACAGGTTAATAGATGAGAATAAGAATAATGCAAGATTTCTTTTCAGCACTGTAGCCAGGCTGACAGAGAGCCACAGCTCTATTGAGCCTTCTATTCCCATAGCACTCAGTAGGAATGATTTTATGTGCTTTTTTAACGATAAAATTGTTACTCTTAGAAACAAAATTAATGACCTCTTGCCTTTGACCAGTATAGTGTTATCAACAGCTCCCGGAAACGTAAGTTCTAATATTACACTAGATAGTAAATTAGAATGCTTTTCAGCCATAAACCTTGAACAATTAAATTCAATGATTCTCTCTTCGAAACCATCAACGTGTATCTTAGACCCGATTCCAACTAAGCTGTTAAAGGACGTTTTTCCATTAATTAACACTTCTTTATTAAATATTATGAATATGTCTTTATGATCAGGCTATGTTTCCACAATCATTTAAAGTAGCAGTGATAAAACCTCTTCTTAAAAAGCACAACCTCGATCCAGAGGTTTTAGTCAACTATAGACCTATTTCTAATCTTCCGTTCCTCTCAAAAATTATTGAGAAAGCGGACGCAAAACAGTTGTGTGATTACTTAAAAAACAATGATTTATTTGAAGATTTTCAGTCTGGCTTTAGAACACATCATAGCACAGAGACAGCTCTGGTTAAAGTCACAAATGACCTTCTAATAGCCTCAGACAAAGGACTTGTCTCTATTCTTGTTTTGCTCGATCTCAGTGCTGCATTTGATACTATCGACCATGACATCTTATTGCAAAGACTAGAGCACTTAGTTGGCATACAGGGAACTGCTTTAGGCTGGTTTAGGTCCTGTCTATCTGAACGCTCTCAGTTTGTATGTGTCAACGATGAATCTTCCATGCAGACCAAAGTTAGCCATGGAGTGCCACAGGGCTCAGTGCTTGGACCTATTTTGTTCACATTATATATGCTTCCGTTAGGCAATATTATAAGGAATCATTCTGTACATTTTCATTGTTATGCGGATGATACTCAACTATATTTATCAATCAAGCCTGATGAAATTAATCATCTAAATTAAATTCAAGACTGCCTCAAGGACTTAAAAACGTGGATGACCTTAAACTTTTTGATGTTAAACACGGCCAAAACTGAAGTTATTGTACTCGGCCCAAAGAATCTACGAAACAAATTATCTAAAGATATACTAACTATGGATGGCATTAATTTGGCCTCCAGTGAGACTGTAAGGAATCTTGGTGTTATATTTGATCAGGATTTATCTTTTAACGCCCACATAAAATCAATTTCAAGGACCGCCTACTTCCATCTACGTAACATTGCAAAAATCAGGCATATCTTGCCTCAAAACGATGCAGAGAAACTAGTCCATGCATTTGTTACTTCAAGGCTGGATTATTGTAACTCTTTATTATCAGGGTGTACCAAGAAGTCAGTTAAGTCACTTCAGCTGATTCAAAACGCTGCAGCACGTGTACTAACCAGTGTTCGGAAAAGGGACCACATTACTCCTGTTCTGGCTGCCTTACACTGGCTCCCTATAGAACACAGGATAGAATTTAAAATTCTTCTTCTCGCCTACAAAGCCCTTAATGGGCAGGCGCCATCTTACCTTAAAGAACTCATTATACCCTACTGTCCTACTAGGGCATTGCGTTCCAAGAATGCAGGGTTGTTGGTTGTTCCTAGAGTCTCTAAAAGTACAATGGGAGCCAGAGCCTTTTCTTATCAAGCTCCACATATGTGGAATCAGCTTCCAGTTTGTGTTCGGGCGGCAGACACCCTATCCGTTTTTAAGAGTGCGCTTAAGACCTTCCTTTTTGATAAAGCTTATAGTTAGGGCTGATTAGATTCAGCCCCTAGTTTTGCTGCTATAGGCTTAGTTTGGGACACCTTACTTCTTCCTTCTCTCTGTCTGTACCTGTGTACTCTCATGTTCCGAATAACCCAGCTTCCCCAAATTTCTTTTTTGGTGTCTATATACGCCGGGATCCGGGGTCATGGCTGATCGTGTTGCTGTGGTCCTGAGTCCTGGATCGCGAGCCCTGGATCTTGAGTCGTGGCTGTGCCTGCTGCTGTGGTCCTGGATCATAAGTCCTGGATGGATATCCTTGTGGATTCATCTTCTTATTATAGACACATGCATTTCCAAACATTTGGACTACCTATGTTGCAAATGTATTATCTTTTCAATTTACACACGGCATCTATTGCACATCTGTCCGTCCTGGGAGAGGGATCCCTCCTCTGTTGCTCTCCCTGAGGTTTCTCCCATTTTCCCCTTTAAAATGTGGGTTTTCTCCGGAAGTTTTTCCTTGTACGATGTGAGGGTCTAAGGACAGAGGGTGTCATATTGTCATACTGATATTCTGTACAAACTGTGAAGTCCACTGAGACAAATGTAACATTTGTGATATTGGGCTATATCAATACACATTGATTGATTGATGGTTACCTCTGCAAGAGGTAGTGGGTGATTTGGGGGGGGCAGCAACACCACGGTATCCCCATCATCTGCAGAACAATAAAATACATGTTACTTACTCCCACAAAAATAGATATATAATTGTCAGTGACGTGCGGTGAGGTTCATGGCTGGTGAGGCACTGACTCACTGAGTCAGATTTACAAATATTATATTTTGACCTTAATCGAAATATTCGGTTATTTTCAAAAGCTTTTTTAGTCTGATGCTTCGATTCATTTTAAACAGACCATTCAACAAAAGGATACCCAAAATCTAAATATTGGATTGTTCTTTCTTAGTAAGATCCTATTTTCATTACAAATGTGGTCTTACCTTGACTTGAAGATGAAGTCCATGCTATCCTTCTGGACAACAATCTCTATTACTTTTTTGTAAAAGTCCTCCTTATCTTCCTCTAGTTTCAAAAGTCTAGTTTGTTGTTTGCGTCTACCGTCTCTGCGTAGAATTACAGTAGCAACAAGAACCTGTGGGCTCACGTGCGCCCCCTTCAGTGCGGCAGAGGTTATGGCTGCCTCCCCTGGTGCTTTTTTCATTGCCGTTGTATGATGAGACCAGCGGGCCTAAATATCATATATACGTGAAATAAGTTATTTAGAGACTATGGATGGCGAGGATAAATGTAATAAAGGGATCTACAAACATTACATTGGTGACCTACAGTGAGATGGTAACAGGCATGCGCTTAGTGCCCGCTTTCCAGTCAGTTTCTGTGGCTTTCTGAGGTGAGGCAGAGCTCATCTGTGCCTCACCTCACCCCAC